ATCGAAGTGACCATGCCCACCTTGGCCACACCCACCCAGTTTGCCATGACTACAGCCACGCCCACTCAGTGGGTCACATCCACCTGGCGATAAATAAGTGGGTTTGGGTTGCAGTTTGGGCACGTGGTCTCTAAAAGGTTCGCCATCACTGGCCTATGCAGTTCATTTAGGGACCATTCAACAGCACTGAAAAAAAGTGACTTATGACCATTTTTCACACTTTCGACTCTTGGGGCATTCCCCAGGGTCACATGATCAAAATTCAGACGCTCTCGGCAACTGACTCATATTTATGACGTTTGCAGTATCCTGGGGGCAAGGGATTCCCCTTTTGTGGGCCTTCTGACAGCAAAGTCAGTGGGGAAGCCAGATTCATTTAACAACAGTGTCACTAACTACGGCAGCGATTCACATTTGTGTCATGAAAAGCTGTAAAAATGGGGCAAAGTTCACTTAACAAATGTCAACAACCAAACACAATTGGACTCAATTGTGATCATACATCAAGGGCTACCTGTAGTCTCTTTATTTCCACTCATATTTTTCTAATGGCTCCTTCTATCTGGAATCTAACAATTGTCAAAGCATTGCTGATTCCCTGTCTTCCCCTTTATGCCCATAATCGTAGCCTTGTTGGCTTTGTTTCTTAGTCTTCATCCCTCATAAAAAGGAAGCAGAGTAATTTTAACTACATCTGTGTGAGTTAAATGCCCTTTTTTACTTCTACTGTTGAAATATAGATGGTCAGCTATATTAGAACAATTAACCAATGAAACAGCTTGTCTTAAGAAGTTGTGGATGCTCCAACACAAGAAGCTTTTAGAAGAGATTGGGCAGCCACTTGTCTGAAATGGGGTAGGGTCTCCTGTTTGTGTAAGGGGTTGGACTAGGAGACCTCCAAGGTCCCTTCCAACTCTGTTGTTCTGTTATAGTTCATGTTACACGGACAGCTTTCCATGAATAATACTCATAGATTGTAACAAATGGTAATAAAGTGCTGTCAAAATATACCTGAAAACTACAGGAGGACCTGGACAGACTTGAACAAAGGGAGATAGGGCGGTATATAAATTTAAATAATAAATAAATAAATAAACACTGGGCGCTATCTAAGAAAATGAAATTCAATGGTGAAAAAAGTAAGGTTCTACATTTAGGCAAGAAAAACCAAATGTACAGGTATAGTATAGGGCAGGGGTATAGCTGGCTCAGGAATTCTGGGAGTTGAAGTCCATGAGTCATAAAAGAGCCAAGGTTGCCGACCCCTGGTATAGGGGGTACCTTGCTCAATAGTAGTAACACACTCTCCCTAGAGCCTCAGGATCACCTGTTAGTGAATTTATACTCGGTCGTCACACGACGTCGACGGTTTTTCCGGTTGTGTCACGATCCGACGTAATTGTCTCCCTATCTTAGTTCTAGTGCACTTCATAATTATGGTGAAATGTTACGGAATCATTCCGGTCACTTGGAATACTGCATCCAGTTTTGGTCACCACCATGTAAAAAAGATGCTGAGACTCTAGAAAGAGTGCAGAGAAGAGCAACAAAGATGATTAGGGGACTGGAGGCTAAAACATATAAGGAACGGTTGCTGGAATTGGGTATGTCTAGTTTAACGAAGAGAAGGACGAGGGGGGACAGGATAGCAGTCTTCCAGTATCTCAGGGGCTGCCACAAAGAAGAGGGAGTCAAGCTATTCTCCAAAGCGCCTGAAGGCAGGACGAGAAGCAACGGGTGGAAACTAATCAAAGAGAAGCAACCTAGAACTAAGGAGAAACTTCCTGACAGTTAGAACAATTAACCAGTGGAACAACCTGCCTCCAGAAGCGGTGAATGCTCCAACACTGGAAGTTTTTAAGAAGAGACTGGACAGCCATTTGTCTGAAATGGTGTAGGGTTCCTGCCTGAGCAGGGGGTTGGAGTCGATGACCTCCAAGGTCCCTTCCAACTTTATTATTACTATTACTACTACTACTACTACTATTATTATTATTATTATTATTATTATTATTATTATTATTATTATTATTATTATTATTATTATTATTATTATTATTATAAAATCATCTTGAACCCGATTTGGAACAGTGTCAGATAATTTTTTCAAAACCAAGTATAGTTTGACAATTGCATTTTGATATCACTGCAACTGTCCTAAATAATTGTAACCTGTGACATCTGAACGGTTATTAAAAGAATTATTAAAGCAGAAAATGACTCGCACTAAGCTGGGGTGTTGTTGTTTTTTTGACCTTTCAAGGTTCTGCAGGCATATTTTGAGGGAATCTTGGCTTACATGAAACCTGATTAGATCTACACTGTAATTCGTTCCTTCCAAGTAATATATTGCTTAGATCATCCTTCTCCTCCAGAATGAATTTAAACCTTTTCTTGCATTAATTTTTCAATCTTGGCTCATATTTATAGTCTGACTATTTTTGTACACAACCTCTGCAGCCCACAGTGATACTGTAGGTGACAAATGAAGGCAATAAGTTGCATCAGATCTGAAATCTCCTGCAAGATTATATGTCAAAGAAAGGAAGTAGGTGTGCTAATGAATTGAGAAACTGTTCCAAGTTCTTCTATCCAGACCAGAAAAAAAATATGTTTTGTCCCATACACAGAAATGGCGTAGTAATCATTGTAAACAATAATTTAAAAATCCTAACGTTGCGGTTATTGTAATACTTGTCAAACAATTGTCATGAATTCTAATTGTGCAATTTTATTTTATTTTGTCCTATCCTAGGGTTCCATATTTTGCATTACACATAGTCCTCACTTAACAGCAGTAATTGGGATCAGTGGAGCAGTTGTAAAGCGCAGAATCACATGGCTGCACTGCTTAGCGACAGAAATTCCAGTACGTCCAGAAGCTGTTGTTAAGGAAATCCATGCCAAAATTGTTGAGTGCAACATCATGTGGTTGTTGTCAAGCACCAAGGAAGTCATTTGAACTGCCTGGATCTCCTGACTTTCTGGCTAGGAACAAACTAGCGGTCCAGATATTTCACAAAATCAGGAGCTTGATGATTTATTTCATCATCTCTGGATACTTGACAAGGCTGCTTTGAGACAGGATGACTCCTAACTCTTAATAAATCAGGGCTTTTCTACTACAAGCTACAACAGAATCATAATCAACTGTCTGCTTCCTCAAGGACATGGGGCCAATCTGCTAAATTTCAGTCTATTAGGTTGCATCAGATAACATAATATCCTGTTCTGTATGTGCAAGGAAGACAATAAGGATTTGGGGACCTGACAGTTACCTAGTTGGGCAATGAAACATCTATTAACAAGCAACCAAGCTCAGAGAACCCCATAAAGACCTATTATTGTACTAAGAGAGACAGGGAGGACTGGCTTGGTGCCCCAAATGGTCAATTATATATTACATTTATAGAACTGAGACTCCCTTATTCTAGATTGAAAGATGTTTTTTAAAGTGTGCTCCAAGGATTCCTAGAAGTCCCTGCAAACCATCTCGGGGGTCCCTGAAATCAAAATTCTGACACGCAGAATCAATGGGGAAACCAGCAGGAAAATGCAAGTGGCAGGATTCAGTTTAGTCTAGTGATTAAGTAAGTAAGTAAGACCACACCTAAAATACTGCAACCAGTTTTGGTCACCACACTACAAAAAAGATGTTGAGACTCTAGAAAAAGTGCAGAAAAGAGCAGCAAAGATGATGAGGGGACTGGAGGCTAAAACACATGAAGAACGGTTTGCAGGAACTGGGCATGGCTAGTCTAGTGAAGAGAAGGACCAGGGGAGACATAATAGCAGCGTTCCAATATTTGAGGGGCTGTCACAGAGAGGAGGGGGTCAACCTATTTTCCAAAGCACCTGAAGGCCAGACAAGGAATGTCAAGCACCTTCCATCCAGACAAACAGATGGAAACTGTTCAAGAAGAGATTCAACCTAAGCTCCTACAACTTCTGAAGGAAATCTGTTCCATTGGTTGATGGTTCTCACTGTCAGAAAATTTCTCAAATGAGAAATTTCCTGACAGTGAGAACCATCAACCAATGGAACAGATTGCCTTCAGAAGTTGTGGGAGCTTCATCACTGGAAACTTTCAAGAGACTGGACTGCCATCTGTCATAAATGGTGTAGGGTCTCCTGCTTGGGCGTGGGGGCTGGACTAGATGATCCACAAGGTTCCTTCCAACTCTGTTATTCTATTCTCTTAAGCACCAGGCTAAAAATCAAAAGATTTTGAATTCTTAGCCATGAAAGCTGGCTGTGTGAGCTTGGACCAGTTACTCTGTCTCACCCAACTCACCCCACAGGGTTGTTGTTATATGAAAAATAGGAGGAGGAAGGTGCATTGGATATGTTTGCCACCTTGAATTATTTGTAAAAGTGACAAAGGCAAGATTTTAAAAAAATCTTTCAAAAAATGGCAGGATTTGCCTAACGACGGCAACTAGAACTGTCAGAACTGCTGTCGCCCATCAGCCCCAGTTTCCCAGTACCACTTACCACTGGTAAGCAAGGACTACTGTAATAGTTGAATAGTTGTAATAACGTTGAAAACAATGTGAAATGTAATTTCTGGAAAATAACGAATATTTTCATGTTGCAATGTTCTTTACAATAATTTATAGATGGAAAAGCATATTAGCATTAATGAACGCATGGTTTATAAAACAATACCCACTGCAAACACTGGTGGGTTTACACATCAGGTGAAACCACGATTTAACTAACTATAGTTTATTAAATTATGGTTTATAAACCACAGGGAGTAGAAACTGGCAGGACTGCAAGGTGTGTTCCTAATAAGCCATGCTTCAAATAAGCTTTTAGTCTCAAGCAAACAAGCACGAGATAACCCTTTGCTTGCGCAACTGTTAATGCAACAATTCGCTGTCCACCTCGCTGTTCCACTTTTTCTTGCCCCTGAAGCGGAACCTTTCTTTCCGACTCCCCGTGGCCGGCCGGACCGCTTTGGCAACGCACCTCTGCGCTTTTTTTTTTCCCGGCGAAGATGGCGCTGCCCGTAGTACGATGCTCCTTCCAGAAAGGTGAGAGTCTGGGCACCGCATCTGTAGAAGCCCCCTTTCCCCCCTCCCTTCCCAGCTTAATTTCTCTCCAAAATGGAGATCTTGGGCTTTTACATTAATAATAATAATGTATTATATGGCTATGCTCCCCCCGACCCCCAGCGGGACGGTGGGTTTAGAATGCGGCTATTGCTGCAGAGTAGCCCCAAAGGTGCTTTTTCACGAGGCAACTGGACTTTCTTGTTTTTCTTTGAAGAAAGTCCAGTTGCCTCGTGAAAAAGCACCTTTGGGTTAACTGTGACCTGGATGACTGAGAATCTCCATAGACATTTGGATGTAGAGTAGCGTTTCTTAAACACTTGCCAAATATTTAAAGATGTTTGCAAAAATCATATTCTTTTCATTGTTTAAATTGGCTGAAAGTAGGGTTTTTCATGAAAAACATTTATGCTAATATCTAATAGGGTTAATATGGTTAGGGTTACATGATAAATATTCTATGAACATGTCATCTCCCTGGAGGCTTTCACCAGCCAGCAAAGCCATGGATCTAATTAACAGCTGGTTGAACTCACCATCATAATTTGTATGATTATATAGGTTATATATTGTAATATAACAATATACAGTATACAATTTTATGTATTAATTTTTTACTTCCCTATAAGGTGACTCTGGGCAGCTTACATAATTATTAACTATTCTAATATAATAATTATCAAATATGCAGTTTAAATAATTTATATTTGCCAGACAGAGGATTTTTCTTCCACTGAATGAGAAGCTACTTAATTGTTTTATGATTAATTGTTAATTGTAAATCAGGCGTGTAAGCTGTTCATAGTATCTCTTTTTAGGGGTATTAGCTGGTATTGCTAAAAAAGCAGTGCAAGATTTAGACAATAATGGCTAAAAGCAAGGAACCAGATGAAACTCTTTTAAAGTAAGGAAGTAGGTGCAAAATCTAAAAGTAAAGCAAATTTCCCCAAATCCAGGTTTTTTAAAAAAGAATTCCAGATATACCTTCAGCTGACTGACTTTCGCTCTCCCNCCCCCCCCCCCCCCCCCAGCCATCAAAAGTTATACACTCTGGCTATGAGTGAATGATTCTAAAAAAAACATCTACAAGTACCTCTGAAGAAATAGACATTTTAGATTCTGCTGTTATATAAAATACAGCCAGTTCTGAGAGCAATTCTAAACTAAAAGCTGATTTCTCCAGTGCCCCACCATTTGGCTGCAGATGAAATGAAAGTAAATAATTGTAATGTTACTTTTTTAAAAAAAATCCCGTAGTTATCCAAAATATATTTTTAAATTTGAGAATGGGAAAGTCTAGTTCTGCCAAACCATTTTGCAGTACTTGCAAATATCAGAACTGTGTTGTGTGGAGATCTTTTTCTGATGCAAAGGTCTAGAACAGTGGTTCTCAACCTTTTTAATGCCGCGACCCCAACCGGTCGTAAGTCGAGGACTAAACCGGTCGTAAGTCGAGGACTAAACCGGTCGTAAGTCGAGGACTTTCCCTGCCCGGGAGCGCTGCGCATGCGTGGTTCCGCCCCCTGCGCCGGCCGAGGCGTAGCTGGCAAGCGGCAGAGACGAAGCAGGCCGACCACCAGCTGGCCCAGCCCAAGGGAGGTAAGGCACCCGCGGACAAAAAAATGGCGGACAAAAAAATGGCGGACAGCCTTGCTTGGCGACCCCCGTGAAATGGTCGATCGACCCCAAATGGGGTCCCGACCCACAGGTTGAGAACCACTGGTCTAGAAAAGTGATACCAACTTATGCAATTAAGTGACATGACTAGCATTGTATAACAATTTTGGATTGTTATTTCAAGAATGCACCCTCTGTTTTTTGTCTTTCTACAGTTTTTGTTCAGAATCCTAGCCATATTCTCTCTAGATTTGTTCGGGATCCTGCAGTGGTTCCTTGTTATACCAACTTACTGGTTCCCAGTAGAAAGTATGCTGCAAAGTAAGTAAATAAGGGAGATTAATTTTGAACAGTTAAGAGAAACATTCTCACAGAGACACAGACACACAGACACACACACAAACACAGATGGGCATGCATATCCATAGATACATACAGGTAATCCTTGATTTATGACCATTTGTTTAGCGATTGAAGTCCTAATGACACTGAAAACAGTGACTTACGACTGGTCCTTACACCTACAACCATTGCAGCATACCAACAATCGTATGATCAAAATTCAGGCACTTGGCAACTGGCATGTAATTATGACAGTCGCAGTGTCCTGAGGTTGTAGGATCGCCATTTGTGACTTTCCCATTGACAAGCAAAGTCATTGGGAGAAATCAGATTCATTTAACATGGTTTGCTTAATGATCACAGCTAAAAGATCATAAAATTGGGTGCAACTCATTTAATTGTCTTGCTTAGCAACAGATGTTCCAATTCTAATTGTGGTTGTTAAGTTGAGGACTACCTGTACATAATAGTATAAATAGAAATATTCAGTGGGGCCAGACAAACTTCAAACTCACTAGTATCTCAGATATGCAATCTATTCTTACATAAAGTACACTATCCACTATAAAATATACTATCTAACATTTTGTAAAATTCAAACTGTTTCTTGTACTGTTTTTTGTACTCTATACAGGCAATTGTGAAATGCATTGGCTTCTTAGGGAGGCATTTATAAATATAATATTTTGTACTTTGAAAACATATAGTAGATGTGTTTTAATTATGTTCAAAAGCTGGCTCCATGCAGTATTAGTTATAGTTAAAAATATTAAGGAAGTCAGATTTTGTTCATTCTGACAATCATTCACCGAGACAAATAGTCAATGTTTAAAATTTAGTAATTTAAAATATTTTCTACTCATATTAATGGCATAATCTTTATATGTTAGGGAACAATTAAATTATTAATTTAAATTAAATTTCTAGTTCCAGAAATTTGTCATGAAGTGGAGCTGAACTTATTAAAAAGAAAGGAAAGCAGTTCATCTGGAACCTTGTTTAATGTTTCCTAGTTTGGGACCTAATCCACAAATGTGAAAACACTTTTAATTTATATTTAATTTCTTGTCTTTGCTTCTCTTTTTCCTGCATGTCTCATAATTGAAAATAATGATAGCTAGTCACCAGTGTCCTTTGGGTATAGTAAATAATTTTCTTAAATTAAGCAGATTTCTAGTACACTATAAGTTGTGTTTTCTTCTTAGTTTTGGTATGGATTAAGACAACTCTCATCTCTAAGGTGGTCTATGCCAGTTTTAAAAAATTATTGTGAGTATTTATTCAGCAGAGTTGCATAAAACAATCTGTTTCTATTTCCTTAAAGAGTACCTAGGAAATATAGGAGAGCCTCCCAGGAAAAAAAAAAAGCCTCTGAGCTGAAGGAAAAAGATGACCGTTATAAATTGCCTTTACCGCTTGAGCCAAAGGATGATGTTTATTTGACTTGGTGCTATCAAAAACAGATTTATGATACAGAAGCGGCTTTAGAGCTTTTGAAGAAATTTCAACCACTGGATTTTACACCCGCCACCCAGGAATTATATGCACATTTCACCTTGAATATGGCATCGGAAAAGAAGGTATTAGCTTCTTTTTTACAGCCTTAGTTGGTAGCTGAAATTATTTTTTTTAATTTATATATATTTTATTCAAGACAAAGTTAAAATACAAAATATAAAACTCCTCCCCCCCCAAAAAATCCAAAGAGACAAAAAAGAAGCAAAAAACCCCAAACCACCAAAACATTAAAAAAAGAAAAAGGTGCATTAAAAAAAAAAGACCAACACATATACACAAATTATGCCCTCCTAGTTGAATACTGATTAATGCATTACTACAACATTAGTAGCTGGAATTATTTTGGAGATGTTGTTACGAATGAAGTTTTTTTCTTTTAAACCAAACCAAAACTGCGAGCACTAAGAATTAACAGAAGAGATTACAGTATAACCAGAGACTGAGCTGTCTTTATCAGCTTGTCGGTCAGGGTATTTTTGACAAACTAACATATTTTGGCAGTTGTAAGCATGGTTGAATAAAATGAGACTGGAGAAAAACCAGGGTTCGGTTTGTGTTGTATGAGGGGGTGCTTTGAACAATTGAGCTCTCTCTGCGTACTGTTTAAAATCGTCAACATTGTTAAAGCCCTAAAAGTAAATAATCAAGATATCAAGGGTGGAATTAAGAGCATTACTGATGGAGAAACTTCTGTTGTATTTTTTTACTCTTTTGAGTTGTCCCATGTTTTTAACCATGAGTCTGGGTGAACGACTGGTTGTTTAATGACATTTTGAAATTTTGATGGACTCAGAAAAAGTTACTTACAACCCATTCTTGAAGTTACAACTGGCATATATTAGAGGTCCCCAACCTTTTGGGCACCAGGGACCAGTTCTGTGGAGAGAGATTTTTCCGCGGACCGGAGGGTGTGTGGTTTTGTGTGCTGCCTGCATCTTGCGGATTGGGCTTTGCTTGTTTGTGCGGACCGGTTGCTGGCATTCCGCGGCCCGGTACCGGTCCACGGACCGGGGGTTGGGGACCCCTGGCATATATAACCCTCCCGTGGTCACGTGGTTGTATTTTGGGTGTTAGGCAACCAGCTCCTGCAATCACATGACTACAATTTCTGACTTTTTTTACTGGTTTCCATTTGGGAGAACAGATTCGCTCAACACCCACATGGTTCTCTTAACATCCATGTGATTTCCTTAACAATTGTGGACTCGCTTAACAACTCTTGGAAAATCAAGTCAAGGCATGTGATTTGCTTAACCACCACGTCTTACGACCAAAATTATTGTGGTTGTCAAGTGAGGACTCTTGCATTTTCGATTGTTAGTTCCCTTGAATTCTTTGTGAGTGAAATTGCAAAATATGAAGTGATGTAATAAATCTTGTTTTCTTCTGCTTATGCTTTCAGTTCATTAGTTATTTGGATTCTGCAATGTGTACCTTTTTAATCTCTTTAAAAAATAACTTTTAACATCTTGCTGTGGGTGTTACTTGTACTAAAAGATTATTGAGATTATTAGATTACAAACTGGAAAAAAAAAAGCAAAGCATCCTGATCTTTTCTTTTCTTTATACATTTATTTAACTTGCCTTTCTAGGCCATATCTTTCCATGAGAACAATTACTATCATTGAAATATAAACAACATAAAACCAAGGTGTAATCAAACAGTAGAAGACTTAAAAATGTGTTTTTTAACCATGCCAGATTCCAGATGCATGGACTTCAATTTCCAGAATTCTGCAGTCAGGCTGTTGTTGGGAATTCTCCGAGTTGGAATTCACACATTTAAAAGACATCAAAGGGTCCAGCTTGATTTAAAGCACAGCAAATATGTCAGTGAAAAGTGCCTTCAGGCACTGCTTCTAAAAAGATTTATAATAAATTCTTTGAATCCAGTTCTGTAAGCTTTAGAATCATTCTTGAGACAGCTTGAAAAATGTATATGTATGAGTATTGTGTGTATATATACATATATAATCTATATAGCTATATCTATATAGCTATATATAAAATTTCTCACGTGTCAAATACTTATTTTGTTCAATCAGATAACGTGGATTTTTTTTCTTTTTTCTTTTATATTTCCAGAAAACTATGGGGCCATTTTTTAGCACTCTTTTGTTGCCTTACCGTTTCACAGATGTCATCCCCAAGATTTTAGTATTCACACAGGTGAGCTATGGAGCATTGGGTCAAAAATGCTTCAGTCACTTGCATGTTACATTGGCATGCAACGTCACTCTGTTCCCCTGAGACATGAGGAATAGTGGATGAGGTTTGCTTAAGGTGTCAGGTATTTCCTTTATGTGTAGAGATTGTGTATTTGATTTTAATGTGTGAAGAACAAGAAGAGCACTTTAGAGAAAATAGAAAAGGGATCTTGGGTATCCCTTATTACAGGGGTGGGCAATTTAATTTTCCCAAGGGGCCAGATGAGAAACTGGGACTGTTAGGGGGGGCTGCCGCTGCCTTGGCCCCGATGCCACCGCTTGGGCCCTGATGCTGCTAGCACCCACGATGCCAACACTGCCCACCGAGTCACCCATCGCCAACACAACCCCGCTCCCTCAACCGATGCCTCATTGATTCCTCACCCCCTGCTGCCAATGCCCCACCCCAATGCTGCTGATGTCCCGCCTCATCCACACCCCCAATGCCACGGGCTGGATTGGGACCACCCAAGGACCGTAAAATGCCCAGGTCTGCCTTAATGCACGCTTAGATATGGGAGATAGAAATCCTTCAAGCAAACAAAATCCTTAGAGAAGGTGAGATTAAGAATACAGATAGTCCTTGGGTTATGATGGCAATTGCGACTGGGGTTGTAAGGCCTGTTGTCAGGTGGCCACAATGTTTAATTGCAATTTTGGCAGCCCCAATGGTTATCCTAACCCCAAGACACATGAGCTATTAAATGGGAAACGGAGAGATTCCCAGGTAAGGAGTAGAGGGATGAAGGGGGAGGGGAGGCTGGGGGAGAGCTTGTGAGCACAGGAATGTTGGGTGTGAATGTGTGGATGGTGTGGCAGGGTGCAAATGCAGAAGGGCCAGGGCAGGGGTAGGCAACCTTGGCTCTTTTATGACTCATGAACTTCAACTCCCAGAATTCCTGAGCCAGCGTGGCTCAGCTTGGAAACTCTCCCTTTCCCCTCAGCGTGGCTGGCTCAGGAATTCTGGGAGTTGAAGTCCACGAATTATAAAAGAGCCAAGATTGCCTATCCCTGGGCCAGGGGATGGTTGGTATGATGCAAATGTAGGAAGGCTGGGAGTGTTATGAGAGTAACTTGCAACCTTCCCTGCCTATTTCCCCATTGACTTTGCGGGTGCTAATATGCAAAGAAATATTCAGTACAGGTATTCCTTGATTTACAACGGTTCCTTTTCTGACGTTCAGCATTGCAGCGGTACTGAAAAAAAAGTGACTTGTGACCATTTCTCCAACTTACAACCGTTGCAGCATCCCCATGGTCATATGATCAAAATTCAAGCGCTTGGCAACTAGCATGTATTTATGACAGTTGCAGCGTCCCAGGGGTCACGTGATCATCTTTTGCAACCTTCTGACAAGCAAAGTCAATGGGGAAGCCAGATTCACTTAACAACCTTGTGGCTAACTTAGCAGTGGCAGTGATTCACTTAACAACTGTGGCAAGAAAGGGACCACAGGAGGGCATAACTGTCTCACTGTCACCTAACTGTCTCACTTAGCAACAGAAATTTTGGACTCAGTTGTGACCGTTAAATCAAGGACTACCAGTATTCCCGGTGTCTTCTGGCTAAATCATTTTTATTTTCCTTTCAGGATCCCAAAGAAGCAGATCTAGCATCCGAACACGGAGCTGCAATAGTAGGAGGAGTCGAATTAATTAATCCGGTATTTAAAATACGCGTGCATTTTTAATCTCAAGTTGAAATAAGCTCCATTTGTTCTTTGTAACTTTTTCTGGGATCAGAATTTAGGACTGGCTCAGCCCTGCCATCCTCCCATGGTGGGACAGTGGTTAGAATGCAGTATTGTAAGCAAACTCACTGCGCACAGCTAGGAGTTCGATTCTCACTGGCTCAAGGTTGACTCTGTCTTCCATCCTTCCGAGGTTGTTAAAATGAAGACCCAGATTGTTGGGGGCAATATCCTGACTCTGTAAAGTGTAAAGCCCTATGGAGTGGTATATAAGTCTTAAGTGCTATTGCTAATCTACCATAGGCTGGATACTGGGTGGGTTCTCTTCAGAATACTGTGTAGATGTGTCAAGTCTTGGCATCTGGAAGATATAAATTCTGTTGAAATGAAACCTGAGTCCTGCAACTGATGGTCACTAGGCTGTTTTAGCAATAAACAAGATTTCTCCTATTTGCAGCCGAGAATTGGTTTGTTTCATCTAGTTATAATGGGATCTAAGACTCATCTAAATCACAAAAAAATTTCCATTGTTTTGACTTTTAGAAATCTTATTTGGATTTTTCTCTGGCTTCTTAGGAATTCCCCTGATATTCTGCATACATTTTACAACAAATCACCGTAGCCATAAATTATTCTTAAGGGGAACTAAAAAGAAAAACCAATAGCTGCTGAGAGACTTAAGAAATTAACTTCTGTATCCAAAATATAATTCTCTGATTTTTGAAAGTCTTCCACTGAAAAGACAGTTCTACTCTCATGCTTTGCAGCTCTCTCCCCCAACTCTTAATCAAGCCGCAGTGTGAATTCTTTGAAACTGCTGTGTAGAGCTTTATTTTTATTTTTAAACGTTTACTTTCTTTTTAGAACTCTCTGTTGCTAATGTATGTCCTCTTTGTATTAACTTAGGAGGAATACTTAACATTTCTTGCTTAAGTTGGAAAATGACTTTGGGGGGGGGGGAATCTATCTCCTGTATACAGGTAGTCCTTGGCTTAAAAACGTTTGTTTAGTGACCAAAGTTACAACGGCACTGAAAAAAGTGGCTTACGACCGTTTTTCACACTTATGACTGTTGCAGCATCCTTATGGTCACGTGATCAAAATTGGCAACTGGCTCATATTTATGATGTTTGCAGTGTCCTGAGATCATGTGATCCCCTTTTGGCAGCCATCAGACAAGCAGAATCAATAGGAAATCCCGGTTCATTTAACAACCGGGTTACTAACTTAACAACTGCAATGATTCACTTAACAACTGTGGCAAGAAAAGTCATACAGTGGGGCCAAACTCACTTAGCAAATGTTTCACTCAGCAGCATAAATTTTGGGCTCAATTGTGGCCATAACTTGAGGACTACTACTATTTTCTTTTCTTTTTTTTCATATTTCACGGTGTCTCTGACCCTATAAGATTCGTTGTGTTTTACACCTTTGTAAAGTTCAAACTGCATTTGCACCTCTTTTATACGCCACATTTTCCCCTGAGCTTCCAGATGGTTTTCAAGAGCAGCCCCATCCATGTAAATTTGATTCAAATTTACAACAGTCTTTATCAACATCCAGAGAGAACAAACACAAGATAGTCAGGAACACAGGAATCTCATGAGGTAAATTAAACAGTATACAGAACACACGGAAGAGAAAAAAGGCGGGAAAAAAGGGAAACGCCTCTCCTTCAGGCTTATGGCAACCAATCAAGGAGTAGATTGCTTCATGCATGAGTAAGGAACACAAAAATATTATTACCTGTTTGTGCTAGTTAGTGTCTCTGACTTAATCTGGATAGTTGCTACGCAATTCCTTGACACTATTTTTGGAGGCTTCAGAGACCGCACGAGAGCCTGGCCCTCTCGCACAATTTCTGGTGGCCACAGGAGACCGCATTGCATTCTCACACGGCTTCCGCAGCTTCCAAAAATCCTGCGTGAACATGCCTACTTTTGAGGATAGTTGTCAGGTGGTGATGAACCCTGGAACGCAACCTAGAAATTTGAAGATGAAATTTCCATCCATTTAATTTAAAGGGTTGCAACGAGATCGTGTTGCATTTTAGGAAAAGCTAAAATACTGTTCACTTTGTGTCGGCTCATTGCTCTTAAATTTAGTTGCAAAGGGGATATAAAAACAATCCATTTTTTTTATATAGGTGCTTGTGTTGCATATATATCATAACTGCCAGAATGGTAAATCATGAGCAATCTCCTTTTTTTTATTTTTCAGATTTTAAATGAGGAAATTGGGGCAGATTTTTATATCGCCGCCCCTGAAATAACAACAAAAATTAATCCTTTAAGGAATTTTCTGAAACAAAAGTACCCTTCCATGAAGAACGGTAAGAAAAGGATGTTTCTTTTTTTTTCTAAAGAAAACCCTTTTTTTAAAAAAATTTAAAGTAAAGAGATTAAAAACTAACAACAACTAATGGGAGGGAGAAAAAAATAAAGAACAAAAGAAAGCAAATTGCGAAGAACCAGAGGAAAGAAAAAGAAATACAAAGAAGTGACTTCCAACTGTATTTTACAACATATAAATATAAATTTATCTTAAGATCTTTGTCTAAATTTGCAACATAACTTTTATTTTTTCTACTATCTACTACTTTTTCTAATCATCAAATCCATATATCATAATTTCATTTTTTCCCATTTCACCCAAACAATCCAGAAGGAGCTTCCAATCAATAAAATTAATGTATTTTCTCTAATTTAAAACTGTCAGCTTCACCATCTCAGTAACACCATCAACTTCACCATCCATTCTTCCATATAGGTAATATCAATTTTTTCCACTGTTATGCATATAATAAATAATAATAATAATAATAATAATAATAATAATAATAATAATAATAATAATAATAATAATAAAGTTGGAAGGGACCTTGGAGGTCATCTAGTCCAACCTCCTGCTCAGGCAGGAAACCCTATACCATTTCGGACAAATGGCTGTCCAGTCTCTTCTTAAAAACTTCCAGTGTTTTGCTTTTCTCCTTGATTAGCTTCCATCCGTTGCTTCTTGTCCTGCCTTCAGGCACTTTGGAAAATAGTTTGACTCCCTCTTCTTTGTGGCAGCCCCTGAGATATTGGAATACGGCTATCCTGTCCCCCCTCGTCCTTCTCTTCATTAAACTAGACATCCCCAATTCCAGCAGCCTTTCCTTGTATGTTTTAGCCTCCAGTCCCCTAATCATCTTTGTTGCTCTTCTCTGTACTCTTTCTAGTGTCTCAACATCTTTTTTACATCGTGGTGACCAAAACTGGATGCAGTATTCCAAGTGTGGCCTTACCAAGGCATTGTAAAGTGGTATTAACACTTCACGTGATCTTGATTCTATCCCTCTGTTAATGCAGCCTAGCACTGTGTTAGCCTTTTTGGCAGCTGCAGCACATGGCTGGCTCCTATTTAGGTGATTGTCCACTACGACTCCGAGGTCCCTCTCACAGTTACTACTATTGAGCAAGGTACCCCCTGTACTATACCTGTACATTTGGTTTTTCTTGCCTAAATGTAGAACCTTACTTTTTTCACCATTGAATTTCATTTTGTTAGATAGTGCCCAGTGTTCAAGTCTGTCCAGGTCCTCCTGTATCCTAAGCCTGTCTTCTGGAGTGTTGGCTATTCCTGTCAGCTTGGTGTTGTCTGCAGATTTGATCTATCCCCTTGTCCAAATTGTTGATGAAGATGTTGAAGAGCACTGGGCCCAGTCCTAATGCTGTTATCCTAATCCTAAAGTCCTAATGCAATTATCGTATATAAAAACAAAGTACCATGTTTTTTTTCCATCTCTTCGTCCACCTGTCCCCAAAGGAGTATCTCTGGTGTCAGTTTTGTATCAGTTTTTAAGATCTTCTGAATTACGTTTGTATTTGAATTCTTATTTTTTTAGCGTTTTTAACATGATAAAAAGTCCCCTCTTTTTCACGTTTTCAGGGTCCCAGGGTCATGTGATCACCTTTTGTGACCTGACAAGCAAAGTCAAAAGGGAAGCCAAATTCACTTAACAACTGTGTTACTAAGTTAACAACTACAGTCAGCGATTCATTTAACAACTCTGGCAAGAAAGTTCATAAAACGGGGCAAAACTCACTTAACAAATGTCTCATTTAGCAATAGAAATTTTGGGCTCAATTGTGGTCATAAGTCAAGGATTAACCTGTACGCTAAAAGTACCTTTATACATTTTAGTCATTTTTTTTTCTGGTGACAAATACCAACTGTACCTAATTATAGAAAAATTCTCTTTAAGATTATAACACAGTGCAAAGTTCAATCTTTCACCCACGTATTCTCCTATTGTTTTATTTATATATTGCACCCCAATTTTTTATCCCATTTTATTACACATTCTTCCACTTGTTTTTCTGCATCAGATTTCAATAAAAGTTTATATGTTTTAGTAACAAAGCGTTCATCACTCGAACAATGTTTTTTAAGGATCTAATTTTTAAAAAAATTCTTCTTCACTATAGGTTGGTAAGACCATTAGATCAGTGGTCCCCAATTTTTCTGGCGTTGTAGACTAGCAAGGGGGGGGAAGAGATGAGTTGGTTCCATGTGCCTGCCACTCACACTAATGGGAGGTTCACACACATGGGCGAGTGTCCGCCACTCACGCAAATGGAGGTTCACACACATGGGCAAGTGTCCACCACTCACGCAAATGGAGCTGCATGCGCATGCTGCCCTGCCACTTGTATGGCCCCTGTTCCAAGCGAGCTGTGGCCCAATACCAACCCGGGGGTTGGTGATCCCCTGCATTAGATGAAATGGGATTACATAGGATTGAACTGTAAAGGGCAATTTCTTCATTATACCTTCCTTACAGAAGTGACTTCAATAATTCATACATACCAACTATCAATCAGTAAACAATGACATTTCCTTGTTTTTTGTTATTGATATTAGGAACATATTAAACTTTTATGTCTAGTCTAATGAAAAGAAGGGCTAGGGGTGACATGATAGCAGTCTTCCAATATCTGAGGGGCTGCCACAAAGAGGGGGTGAACCTAGTTTCCAAAGCACCAGAAGGCAAGACAAGAAGCAATGGATGGAAACTAGAGAAGCAACCTGGAACTAGAGAAATTTCCTAACAGTGAGAACAATTAACCAGTGGAATGGCTTGCCTTCAGAAGTTGTGGGTGCTCCATCACTGGAGGCTTTTAAGAGACTGGACAGCCACTTGAATGGTATCGGATCTCCTGCTTGAGCAGGGAGTTGGACTAGAAGACCTCCACGGTCCCTTCCAATTCTATTATTCTGTTATAAGCAGTGACCGTGAAGCTCCGTTGTGTCCATGGAATCACTCACATTCTTTTAGTTTGTGGCAAGGTTCGGCCCATCGTCCTTTGGAATTCTTCCCAGTTGGAAAGAGAAATGGCAGAACAGCTGCTTTGCTTCCATGCTGGATGTAGGATATGTAAGATGAATTTAACTCTACTTTGTGGGTTGTTGTTTTTTTTAAAAAAAAACAGGTACCATTACTTACAATATCGCCGAGACGCTAAATTTCTTCAAAGCCTGCCACGAGTATTCAGTGACCGACGACAACCTTATCCAAACACCGTTCGCAATGGTATGTTTCACAAGGCATTTTGGCCAATGAGTTGGCCGTGAGTTCCGCTTACAGGAGTTGAATCATGTATTAAAAATTAATGTTTGACCTAAAATAGGCACCAACGCACTACTTCGTTTCTTTCCGTTTGTATTTTTGCTTCTTTTTTTTTAAATAAGTCCTTCAGCAGAACACAGTAGTGCAACCTATTAGGGAATATTTAGCAAGTCAGTACAGGTTTGCTAATAGAAGCGTTTCCTGTCTGAAATATCCACAAAAGGTAGATGTACATAATACTTATTGCTAAGGAACTGCACGTAATATTTCCTCGTTGGTTGTTATTTCAGTACTTAAATAATTTTCACCAGGCTGCAAGAGGACGTATCCTGAAAACTGGTTTTAAAATACTCTAAATCACAGGCTTGAATCAGACGGCACCTCTGGAACTCCAGTTTTAAGTTAAAATATTCTAAAGTGGCTAAAGTTTTGCCACAAGCTGTAGTACTGTTCTCTCGTGGAAGTTTGATTAAAATTGCAGGCAAGAAAGACAAAATTAGTGAGATTTCATCCATGTTAGTTGTCGTTCTTATTTGCTGCTGAAATCTGAACAGATGGCCATTTCTCACTCTCTGTGGTTGAAATGTTTAATAAGCTGGCCATGAAATAAATCTGTACTATTAGTCCTTGACTTACAACCACAATTGAGCCCAAAAATTTCCATAGCTAACCAAGATAGTTGTCCAACTTCCCCCTTGGCTAGGGAATTCTGGGAGTTGAAGTGCATAAAACTTGAGAAAGTTGAGAAATACTGCTCTATACATTTACAGTGATTGAATTTGAATAAAAATAGAAGATACCATTGCTTTTTTTTTAACAACACAGTATTACTGGGCTAAAGACACTAATGATATTAACAGGCCTTGCAGCCTTTAATTGATGAGAAAATGAAATAAATAAATTAAATAAATAAATAATGATTTTTTTTAAATTAAATAAAAGCCCAGTGCATTGATTAAGTATTTACCCCAGTCCCCGCAATTTTTATAAATCTGACGGCATTTAATCTTTTGTTTTTCTTTATTTTTGCATTAACCTTTTCAGCTGGACATGCCTAATGATGAGATACTTGCCAATCTGGACAGTATTATTAAGGACATTTGTAAACACAAATCTTCGAAATACGGTGAGCCACTCTTTTAAAAAAATTTCTTAATCAGTGCTGATAGCTAATGATGTTACTCAGATGAATATAAGATTGGGAGAAGCATTTTGCTAGCATCAAGGAGAAAACAGTAAAAAAAACACGTACTGCCACACTAAGCAATTAAAAAACAGTAACAATGTCAGGCGCAAAAATTGCTTAACAATATTGCTCGTAATTTTGCTTCCCATCTGCAAGCAATCTTAACTTCCCTTCTTCGGAGTGAAATTCCTGGAAACCATTTTATTCTTTTTAAGAAGTTGTTTGGGAGTTTTGAGAATAACCTTCTGCTTTAAAGTGGCGAAATTATTATACCGAGAAGTCCCGTTTTTGTTTCCTGCAGAATTATTCCGTTAGAAAAATAATTTTCTCCCTGCCAAAGCCTGGGCTTGGAAACATTTGCGCAGGAAGTTCCTATCTTGAAATGTTTTGAACAACCTTGAAAAGAACCGTATCAGATGTTTTGAGTTCCAAGTAAAATGTTTTTGGGGTTCTGAGAATTTTGTTTTAAGGTCAGGGCAGAGACGCATCATTTTGTTTTGGCGTCAGAACGATATGTGACCGTTTTCAAGGATTTGACTTTGAATGTTCCAGTTTTTGAGGGCATCAGTTAAGCTGTTTTCTCTGCAAGGACAACTCCTAGGACACACAGGGATTAGAATGGTTTGTTGAGGGGGTGTGGTTTTTTGTTTTTTTTGGTTTTTTTTGCAGAGTTTGGGGGGGGGGGAAAGCACAAGTACCTTGACTTACGACTACAATTGAGCCCCAGATTTCTGTCGCTAACCAAGACAGTTAAGTGAGTTTTGCCCATTTTACGATAGTTAAGTGAATCACTGCAGTTGCTAAATTACTAATACGGTTGTTATTTGAATTTGGCTTCCCCATTGACTTTGCTTGTCAGAAGTTCACAAAAGGGGATCACGTGACCCTGGGACACGGCAACCGTCATGAATACATGCCAGTTGCCAGTGTCTGAATTTTAATCACGTACAATGATGTCAGTGTTAGAACATCCACAAAAATAAGCTGAATTCTTCCTTTTTGGCTCCTCTCTCTCTCTCTCCTCTCTCTCTCTCTTCTCTCTCTCCTCTCTCTCTCTCTTTCCTCTCTCTCTCCTCTCTCTTCTCTCTCTCTCTCCTCTCTCTCTTCTCTCTCTCTCCTCCTCTCTCTCTCTCTCCTCTCTCCTCTCTCCTCTCTTCTCTCTCTCTCCTCTCCTCTCCTCTTCTCTCTCTCTCTCTCTCTCTCTCTCTCTCTCTCTCTCTCTCTCTCTCTCACTCGTTTCAGGTCCTTTTGTAACAAGTATGAGCATTCGAAGTTCAACTAGTGAAGCCTTAGATGTGAAAGTTGAAGCTTTTCTCTCTGAAGAATCTCTAGGACGGAAATTGGAAGAAACTGAAAGGATCAGCGAAGAAGAAAAGCAAGAACCAGATGATTAGAAGGTTGCAGAAATGTCGTTTTCCTTGTATAAAAATGATAAAGGGCAGTTCTTGCGCCCTCATCCATAGATTCCCTCACGTTCTGGTCCTGAATAAGATGTTTTGCACCAATATCGGAGACAACGGAATTGTCTCCAACACTGAAGCTCCGTGGCGCTGTTAGATCAACCGTCCCCAAAATTTGGGGCCTAGGTAATATCTAGGAATTATCAATATTATAGGCTCGGCACCTCTGGAGAGCCTGCCAGCACTGACACTAATGTTTCAGTGCAAACCATTCTCCGTTTGTAAAAAAAGATGTTTTATTAAAAATGAAAAGCTTTGTGTACAGTTTTTATTCACCTTGGAAGCCTTCAACGTCCCTCAGGTTTTTGTTTTAATTGTGTTTTTTCAACCCACAGACAAATTGATTATATCTCAAGAGTCTTAAGGAAAAAAATTAAGAACATGTTTCGGCAGCTTAATGTGTGTGTGGAGGGGGGTTAGGTTGTCCGTGGCTGCCAGTTGCATTCTGGAAAATGTGCAGTGAGCACCTGGTTTTGGAGATTCACGACAGGCCCTAACAAAGATCTCCTCTTCTGTCCACCTACTGCACGGGTAGGCAACCTTGACTCTTTATGACTCGTGGACTTCAACTCCCAGAATTTCTGAGCCAGCATGGCTCAGCTTGGAAACTCTCCCTTTCCCCTCAGCATGGCTGGCTCAGGAATTCTGGGAGTTGAAGTCCACGAGTCATAAAAGAGCCAAGGTTGCCTACCCGACCTACTGTAACCAAGGCATCCTTCATCGTTGCATAAATTGATGTAAACATATTAATAAAGGAGAATATTTGTAGTCCATACAGCATCACAGTCTGGTATGGAAGCATCACTGCTTTAGGCAGGAAGGCGGTGCAGAGAATGGTGAGGATGGCCGAAAAGATCACTGGCAGTTCCCTCCCTCCCATCCAGGACATAAGCATATAAGCATTGCTTGAGCAGGGTCCACAAGATCATCTGGGACACCACACATCCTCTTCATGACTTGTTTTCCTTACTACCTTCTGGGAGGAGGGGGCTCCGTGGTATCCGAAGCAGAACGTCCAGATTCAGCCAGAGTTTCATTCCATACAGCATTAACTTTGCGAACTCTCAAGCTTCCTCCTTCCATTATGTATTCAAGATGGACAGTATTTAATATCTATTTATTATATGTACGTAGGGGTGTGGGTCTATACATAAGTTGTATAAAGTACGTTTAGTTGTGCGTCATGTATGTGTTTCACTTTGAGAGCGGGCAACTAAATTTCATTTTTGAAGTGTGCCGTTGTGCTGACAGTAAAAAAATAAGAATAAAGGTTATCTTATCTTCAGGGTTGAAATGAGGAGTCCTTGGTGCTCTCCGAGTTTGGTTGATCACTAGCACTGATGATGTTGCCTAGTTGGGCAATGAAACGTCTGCAAGAAATCAGCCAAGCTCAGAGAGCACCAAGGACCCCTCAGTAAACAGATTGCAGGAACAGCATTGCAGGTGGTCCTCGAGATGCAACCCTAATGGAGCCTGCCCATTACGGTTGCATGAAGGGACAGCTGTTAAGCAAGGCAGTCTCGCTTAACGACCTTCATACCCAGAAGCCTGTTGGTGACTCCAGTTGTTTGTGGAGTTTGTGGAACTTCCTTAAAATAATTGTGAGAATACTATCAGCTTGCAGAATAGCATGAGTTGCCATGAGGTAGACATGTCAAACATAAGGCCTGGGGGCCGGATGCGGCCCGTGAAGTGGTTTCATGTGGCCCGCGAAGCCATCCTGGAAACGGAACGGCCCCCGCTGCCTTGGCCCTGGCCCAAGCTGGCCGGGAGCGAATGTACAATTTTGTGGTGGCCATCTATGCTGAAACACATTCAGTCTTAGCTCCACAAGGCCGTCTGGAAACAGTGAGGAACCAGCTCCTGCCGTGTCAGTCCCGCCCCCTGGGTGCATGCTGGGGAGGGGTCACCCTTTGAGAGGAATGAAGAAATGGACCATGCCTTGGTGCTTGCCCCGGTCCCACCCCCTTCTGCCAGAGACCCTCAGATCTGTCCCACTCCTGCCCAGGCCCCCACAGGCACCCTTGACATGAACGATGTAGAGCTGGCCATGCCCACCCAGTAGGCCACGCCCATCCAGTAGCTGCACCCACCCGGCCCCCGAGGGCAACCGCAATGCTGATGCGGCCCTCAATGAAATTGAGTTTGACACCCCTGCCATGAGGCATTCCGCTTCTGTAAGAAAGCTGAGTCTGGCATCAGCCTTGCATCATTTCTGGAAAAAAACAGAAAGGTAAATTGGATGCTGTTGGGCTCCGGAGCTGGCTGAGGGACAGGCCGAGACCTGCAAATCCCCTGGGTGGCTGGATGAGAAGTAGGTCAAGACCTACAGGCTTTAACAGCCTCCCAGTCATAACTAGCTTTTTTGGGGGGGGTCTGTCATAACTTGATCGGTCGTATCTTGAGGACTACCTGTATCAATTTTCACAGTCAGAAACCTTGGTCTTTTGGACTCCCCTGAGTTTGGAATGTCATTCGGTCTATTAGATGGTCTGTTTAGGTAGTTCTCAACTTAACAACCATTCGTTTAATGAATGTTCAAAGTTAAAAACAGTCCTGCAAAAAAGTGACTTACAACTGGTCCTTGCACTTAAGACTGTGACAGAGTCCCTGCGATCATGTGCTCAAAATTTGGGTGCTTGACAACCAACATGTATTTACAATGCTTGCAGCATCCTGGGGTCTTTTGTGACCTTCCCACCTGGAATGAGGGAAGCTATTTTGTTACTTCAAGGGGAAAAAAGACCAAGACATAATTAAACACATCAGAAAAGTGTTAAAACCAGAAAATAATCACGAACAGAAAACATTTTTAAAATTTTTTTGAAATCTTCAATATTTTCTACTTCCGTTGCAGATCATAATTCCCACATATCCAGTAAATTGACAAAAAAATTTTTATCACTGATGAAACAAGATAATTCTTGCAGATCTTGTGGAACAACATTTGACCTTCCTGTTTCTTCAACTCATGAACTTTATCTGAGATGTTTTCTAATACAGCTACTGACCAAGTTTTCCAGTGCCATTTTTCAACTGATAAATGATCCAAACGCTTCTTAAATTGAGCAACTAACAATTTAGTTTTCAAAAGGAAAAATAAAGTAAGCTTCTTGACATTTATCCCAATATTTTCTCTATTAAACATAGGTTATATTCCTTATTTTGATGACTCTGCAATTCATCAAAACTCTTTTTTTCAAAAATATTACCCATTTTTACATGTTCCCTTCTGTTGGCACCCTCCTCCCAATTTGGCTGAATAATTACGAGAGTTCATATGGGGGGTTAAATGTCATTGATGCAAAATCTTGAAATACAACTCCTGCTTTGAAGCTAACAGAAATCCCCCATCACCGTGCCAGATATTGTCCAGCTGCCTTCCCAGATAAATCTCTCTCAAGTTTCTTTTGAACTCCAGGAAGGATTTTGTTTGTCTCTTTTCCAGTAACCACATACAGGATACGGTTTGAAAGTTATGCCTTTAAGTGGAGAAATGTAGTCTTTTGCAAAACTTCTTAATAGGGGATTTGCAAATTCCATTAGTCTCCCAGTGAGTGGGAATGTGTTAATTTGAATCCGTAAGGCGCACTGTATTTTACATCTTAAGTGCTATTCTAGCTCTTGTTCAGCAGAAGTCAGTAGCAAAGACAAACCGCAAATAAACTAGATGCTCACAGTCTGCCAATCATTAAACTGTCATACATGTATATATGCTTATGTGTGTGTGTGCACACATACATATGTATTAGAAGTCAGCAACAGACAGATTAAAGCAGTGGTTCTCAACCTTTTTAATGCCGCGACCCCAACCAGTCGTAAGTCGAGGACTAAACCGGTCGTAAGTTGAGGACTACCCAACCGGTCGTAAGTCGAGGACTTTCCCTGCCTGGGAGTGCCGCACATGCGTGGTTCTGCCCCCTGCGCCGGCCGAGGCGTAGCTGGCAAGCGGCAGAGACAGAGCAGGCCGACCACCAGCTGGCCCAGCCCAAGGGAGGTAAGGCACCTGCCAGAAAAGGGGGAAAAAATGGCGGACAGCCTTGCTTGGCGACCCCCGTGAAATGGTCGATCGACCCCAAATGGGGTCCCGACCCACAGGTTGAGAACCACTGGATTAAAGGAACCTGTGTGCATTGTAATGTTTGCTATTTAGGAATAATTGTTAGTTGATAATGCTATGAATGTAGCTTGAACAGTGGATCCTGTAATGTGCCTATAACTATCCAGACAGCCACTCTTCCTAGTGTAGAGTATCTGAAGGCCACTTTTAGCCAAGGCTAGAAAAATTGCTGAGCCCAAAAATAACCTGCGGGTTTATTTTGATGTGTGGGGGAAAAAAATTGGCCACTGTAGGGCGCTCCTGTCTTACAAAGCTCAGTCACTCTTTGTTACGGGTCTGAAATGTGCAGCAGTGATGGTTGTTAGCAGTTATAAAATGAGGCCAGTTTTATGGGTGTGCATGGGATGTGTTTCTGTTGACCTGCACAACAGCTGAAGTGATTTCAAGGGCTCTTTGCCAAGACACGGGCGAAGAATTTGACAGACGCCAAGTGCTTGCTACGTTGCAAACTGCAGATTTCATTCCACGTAATGCAAAGTCCCAACAGCCAGAACGAAACAGGCTGGCTGGTCAGGGCTGGGTGTGTGATACTGCAGAATGATAGTCTGCAAAAATATGTATGAGTTGCAGGTGGTCCTCGACTTAACGACCACAATTGAGCCTAACTTTTCTGTTGTTAAGTGAGACATTTGTTAAGTCTCCTGTAATGTGCCTACATTTGTTAAGATTTGCCCCATTTTGCAAACTGTCTCACCAGAGTCGTTAAACGAATCACTGCAGTTGGTAAGTTAGTAACCTGGTTAAGTGAATCCGGCTTCCCCATTGACTTTGCTTGTCAGAAGGTCGCAAAAGGTGATCACAGGACCCCCGGGACACAGCAGCCGTCGTAAATATGAATCAGTTGCCAAGCATTTGAATTGGGATCACATGACCATGTGGGGGGGGGATGCTGCAACGGTAATAAATGTGAAAAACGGCCGTGTTACTTTTTTTCCAATGTTTTAAGCCAGGGGTGTCAAACTGCCGGCCACGATGAAACCGCACCCGCCCCATTGCCTTTTTCCCCGATACATCACGCGGCGTCACGTGACGTCGTGAGTTTGACATGTCTGTTTTAAGCAAATGGTTGTAAGTCAAGGTCTTACCTGTATTTGTGTGTGTGTTTTTTTAAGAGAGGTGGGCAAAGCTGC